TGTCAATGTAATGTCTTGTAGTTTATATTGGCCAGATTGTGTCAATGTAATGTCTTGTAGCTCATATTGGCCAGATTATTTCAATGTAATGTCTTGCAGTTTATATTAGTCAGAGTGTGTCAATGTAATGTCTTGCAGTTCACATTGGCAAGATTGTATCAATGTAATGTCTTGCAGTTCATATTGGCCAGATTGTGTCAATGTAATGTCTCGAAGTTCATATTGGCCAGATTGTGTCAATGTAATGTCTCGCAGTTTATATTGGCCAGATTGTGTCAATGTACTGTCTTGCAGTTTATATTGGCCAGACTGTGTCAATGTAATGTCTCGCAATTTATATTGGCCAGATTATTTCAATGTAATGTCTCGCAGTTTATATTGGCCAGATTGTGTCAATGTAATGTCTTGTAGTTTATATTGGCCAGATTGTGTCAATGTAATGTCTTGTAGCTCATATTGGCCAGATTATTTCAATGTAATGTCTTGCAGTTTATATTGGTCAGAGTGTGTCAATGTAATGTCTTGCAGTTCACATTGGCAAGATTGTATCAATGTAATGTCTTGCAGTTCATATTGGCCAGATTGTGTCAATGTAATGTCTTGCAGTTCATATTGGCCAGAATGTGTCAATGAAATGTCTTGCAGTTCAATTGGCCAGATTGTGTCAATGTAATGTCTTGCAGTTCATATTGGCCAGATTGTGTCAATGTAATGTCTCGGGGTTCATATTGGCCAGATTGTGTCAATGTAATGTCTCAAAGTTCATATTGGCCAGATTGTATAAATGTAATGTCTTGCAGTTCATATTGGCCAGATTGTGTCAATGTAATTCTTGCAGTTATATTGGCCAGATTGTGTCAATGTAATGTCTTGCAGTTCATATTGGCCAGATTGTGTCAATGTAATGTCTTGCAGTTTATATTGGCCAGATTGTGTCAATGTAATGTCTCACAGTTATATTGGCCAGATTGTGTCAATGTAATGTCTTACATTTCCTATTGGTCAGATTGTATCAATGTAATGTCATGCAGTTCATATTGGCCAGATTGTGTCAATGTAATGTCTTACAGTTTATAATGGGCAGATTGTGTCAATGTAATGTTTCACAGTTTATATTGTCCAGATTGTGTCAATGTAATATCTTGCAGTTTATATTGGCCAGATTGTGTCAATGTAATTTCTTGCAGTTCACATTGGCCAGATTGTGTCAATGTAATGTCTCGCAGTTTATATTGACCAGATTGTGTCAATGTAATATCTTGCAGTTTATATTGGCCAGATTGTGCCAATGTAATGTCTCGCAGTTCATATTGGCCAGATTGTGTCAATGTAATATCTTGCAGTTCATATTGGCCAGATTGTGTCAATGTAATGTCTTGCAGATCATATTGGCCAGATTGTGTCAATGTAATGTCTTGCATTTCGTATTGGTCAGATTGTATCAATGTAATGTCTTGCAGTTCATATTGGCCATATTATGTCAATGTAATGTCTTGCAGTTTATATTGGCCAGATTGTGTCAATGCAATGTCTCGCAGTTTATATTGGCCAGATTGTGTCAATGTAATGTCTCGCAGTTTATATTGGCCAGATTGTGTCAATGTACTGTCTTGCAGTTTATATTGGCCAGACTGTGTCAATGTAATGTCTCGCAATTTATATTGGCCAGATTATTTCAATGTAATGTCTCGCAGTTTATATTGGCCAGATTG